TGAAGAGGCTTAAAAATGTAACAGGGTTCCACAACTGCTAAAACTGGAAAACCAGTGATCTATGGGTATTGGTCTAAATTATACAATATACACAGTATGGATCCCTGCCAGTGTTATTCCCTGCAATAGAGCACTCTCTTCTACCCTTGGGCTGAAACTGGAGTTGCTGAAGCAAAATGAAAGTATTTGGCAATAGGGGCATCCATATTACTAACTAGATGAAAATCCATTGCATATTAACCTTGAATTTTGGAAATTGGGCTACTCCCAAGCTGGCAGCCTTAGCTCAAAGGGCTTCTTGACTCAGACCAAGTTCAAATGAATTAAGAAACAAAAATCATCAAGAAATAATAATTAGCATATAGCATTTGTGTCCATGGCATTTGTGCTAGGCACCATGCAGAACAAGTTTAATGAATACAATCTCTTTAAAATAGATGACAGTGATGTGATGGAGTTATTTTACCAAATAAGCAAAAATGTTGTGTGTAAATCATATTTTTTTGGGTAAACTGAATCACATTTTAGGCATATTAGAAAGTATACTAGTTACAAAAGGATTCATTGCTAGATTTAACATGAAGAATCCTTTTGAACTGTTAATACCCTCTAATTTGTTTTATAAGTCTGGTTCTTAAAATAGGATCCGTCTATGTGTCCTGATAACATGTAAGAGTACAATACACCAAAGATTAACACTGTGACTAAAAATAATTTATGCTACTTATATAAATAGTTTGATAGAGAGAACCTAAGTTTGGATGCTGGTTCTACAGTTTACTACCTATCTGATGTTAGGCAAGCCTTAACTTTTCTGAGTCTTAGTTTCCATGCTGGAAAGTAAAGGTACTGGACTAGGAACTCTAAGGTTCATTTTCTAAGGATGTAAGCCTAAAACCTGGGTAGATGAACCCTGTCACCTCTAAGCAATATCTCTTTCCCTCCACACTTAAATCTGCCTCTGTTCTCAACTTAATAATAACTCTTATTAAAGATAGTTTTTAAGATTTACAAAACATTAAGTAGTGATCTGCAACATAGATCTCCCAAGCTTGAAACCTCAGAATTGTCTTTGACTCTCTATCACATCCAATCAGTTACCAAGCCCTGGAGAGTCCATCTTCACAATTACTCTTGCATCTCTCCCTTCCTCTCCACTTACTGTATGGCTACACTGGTATAGACCCTTATCAATTCTCATCTGGTCTCTTGCCATAGCCTCCCAACTCTGCTGTTTCCAGTCTCTTTACTATCTGGTTCATACTTTTAGAGCTGTCAAAAGGCAGCTAGGTGGCGCCATAGTGCACAGAGCGCTAGACCCGAAGTCAGGATAACTCTTACTGAGTTCAAATCTGGCCTCAGACACTTGCTAGCTGTGTGACCCTGGGTAAGTCATTTAACTCTGTTTGCCTCAGTTTCCTCATCTGTAAAATGAGCTGGAGAAAGAAATGGCAAAGCACTCCAGTATCTTTTGCCAAGAAAACCCCAAATGGTATCATGAAGAATTACACACGACTGAACAATAAGAGATGCCAAAATGTTTCTAATATACAGATCTGAGCATGCAATTCTCCTTCTAAAAAAACTTCAGTGCCTCTATTATTGCTTATAGGTTAAAACACGAAATTCTTAGCTTGACATTTAAACCTGGTTCTGATCTACCTTTCCAGTCTTATTTCACTCTACTCCTTGTTACACACTCCATGTTCCAGCTAAACTGGAGCAATTACTCAATCCTATCTTCTATTCTCCTGCCTCTCCGAATATATTCAGGCCATCTATATCTCCTCATTCAGTGCATTCAGTGCCTGGAATGCACTCTGTCATCATCATTATCTATTGAAATCCTCCTCTTTTTTTTTCTTTTCCTTCAAAGCTCAACTCAGGTGCTATCTCTTCCATGGAATCTTCCTCTATTTACATTCCCTACCCCTTCCCACATCATCTTGAGTAATTTGCTTCAAATAGCATTCAGCCTAATGCCATCTCTATTTGTGTATGTGGTAAATTTAATATTAAGCTGTAAACTACTTGACGGTAGGAATTGTGTGATTTTTTAATTTTTCTGTATCTAGGGTCTAGCACATTGCTTTGAACACAGCAGGCATTAAATATTTGGTGAACAAATGAAAAGATCTGGTGCAGGCCCTCAGTACTTCATGCCTGGATTACTGCAATAGCTGGTGGGTTTGCCTGCCTTAACTATGTCCCTGGTCTAATCCATTCTCCATTCAGCCACAGAAATGATTTTCCTAGAGTGCAGGTCTGATCATGTTACTTTCCCCTACTCAATGAACTCCAGGGGCTTCCTATTGCCTCCAAAATAAAATATAAAACACTTTGTTTTGAATTCAAATCCCTTTATAACCTAGCCCCCTTCTACTTTTCAAGTCTTCTTACACCTTACTCCCTGCCACATCCTCTTTGATCCACTGACATTGGCCTCCTGCATAGTCCTAGAGCAAGTCATTCCATCTCTTGGCTCTGGCCATTTTCTTTGGCTGTTTCCTATGGGTGGAATGCTCTCCAACTATTGACCTCCCTGGCTTTCTTTAGATCCCAACTAAAATCCCATGTTTTACTGGAAATCTCCAACATCTCTTAATTCTTCCATTAATTATTTCCTATTTATATTGTATATAGCTTGCTTTATATATATTTGTTTGTATATTGTCTCGCCCATTAGACTGTAAGCTCCTTGAGGGAAAGAACTGTCTTTTGCCTCTTTTTGTATCCCCAGTGCTTAGCACAGTGCCTAGTAGATAATAGGTGCTTAATAAATGTTTGTTGATTGATTGATGAGATGGCAGATAGGAGTAAGACAATAAGTTACATGGAAGTAGCTTTGCCTAGATTGAATGTAATAATGAAGTGTAAGGCAAGGTTAGTTGTAGTGCTTAGAAAGGAGGCCAAAGAGTCAGAAAGACCTGGGTTTGAATTCCAACAACATATATGCTGTTATAGACCCTGGGACCTGGGGTAAGTCACTTAAATGTTCAGTGCCCCAGGCAGCTAGCTAAGATTGTAAGTTCCAGATGAGTTGCCTCTCTGTATTAGTGGAGAGAGTTTCTACACTGGAAGTTTCCTATGCCAATGAAATCAGGTTTGGATAAAAAAGAAAAAGAAAGGTAGGTCAACTTGATGAAATACCTCCAAGTTAAAAGCAGTCTAGAGAAAAGTTGTAGCAATTTTTCATACCTCTTTGATACTTTTCTGCCATGAAAGAGGCCAGATTAAACTTAATTAGCATTCTCCTGAACTTTTACATAAGTCCATTAGTAAAACGTTTTCTTGATTTTATAAATGGGTGAACTGTGTCAGAGGCTAATGAAGTTACTTATCCAAGTGGTGGGCTAGAAATGAAAAGACCAGCCTCCAGTCTTAACCAGAATATATCTTTATGCAGTTTCATGGATACCTTTTAATTTTATTCAGACTTGTGATTTCATTGGTGTTTGGAAACTTTTATTTGAGAAGCCTCCCCGTACCAATGGAGAGCTTCGAACGTGAGGCAGAGAATTTCTTGGGTGTGACTTTCCAAGAGTCACACAGCTAGTATGTTTTAAAAGATGGATTTCAACCCAGGTCTTCCTGACTCCAAGGATGGCTTTCTATCCACTATCTCCCAAGCCGCTGCTCAGTGAACCCTTTATGATTTTCAAAATGTCAGGAATCTTACAAGATGCTTAGGAAAGACCATGGAAAGGGCAGCAAGGACTGTGGAAAAGGTTTGTGGCATTTCAGAGGGGATAGGATTTAGTAAGAATACCTGGCTCTGCTGTTTATTAGCTCTGTGACCTTGGACCAGTCGCTGCTCATCTCTGGACTTTCACGTCTCTCATCTATAAAATGAGGGGGCTAGATTAGAATGATCTCCAAGGTCCCTTCTAGCTTGGACTTTCTAGGATAGGGGATGGATTAATGTGGCTAGTTAAAGGCCTCGATGATGGAGACCTAGACAGGGATTAGAAGAAAAAGCAAATTAGCAAGGCTCTCCTAGCTTCCATCTGCTCAACACAGACAAGGTGCGTTTGTACATAAACGTGCAACGTCCTTCTCAACTATCTTGGAACTTTTTTTGATCTTGACATTTTGTGATGGTTTGTTTTAAACCAGGCCCTAGTACCGAGAGAACGAAAGCTTCAAAATCATCAAATCAACCTCTTCCCTCAGGATCAGGGCAGGAGGCAGGTGAACGTCAAGAGGGTATGTGAAGAGGATGCTGAGGCCGAAAACTGCGGTGCCGCAGGTTGGGCAGCTGAGCTCCCCAGGCCCACATAATTACTGTTTTTGAAAATCAAATGAGACCTAGTAGCCCTCCCGGGCTTGCGGTTCCCCGACTGTCAGCGTGATTTAGCGCCTTGTGTACAGAGGGAAATTCAGGGGCGAAACGGAGGAGAAGAGGGCGATGGCGAGCGGGGGAGGGGAGAGGAGGGCGGGGGCCGCGGTTACCCCAGCTGCCTTGACTCCAGCCTCGTTTCTCTTGATTAATCCATCCCATCTCCAAGCTGGAGTACAATGTCGCCCCGCAGCCTGCAGGTGTCTCCCCACGGAGCAGGAGGCGGCAGCGCATCCCTTTCTCTGGCATGTGCCTCCAGCTAGCAGATGTTCGTTCGTTCCTTCGCTTCTCCACTCGCTCCCTCTCCATGCTCGCGGCCAGACAGCCAGAGCTCCTCTGATCCCCTCCTCCTTCTACTCCTCCTTCTCCTCCTCTTGCACCTCCTCCCCGGAGGCTCCGCTCCGGCCCCGCACGTCCCAGCCGGTTGGAAGGAAGCCCCTTTTGGAGACTGGCTGCCTCGCGTCCCTCTCGCCGCCGCCTTGCGAGCGCCCCAAGTTGAGAGGAAGATGGGGACCCGGCTGCAGCATTTGCAGAGCCGCTCCAGCAACAGATTGGAAGAGACGGAGAGTTTCCACCGAGGGGAAACTGGCTGCTGAAGGGCGCGTGACGAGGCTCCGAGAACTTCTCCTCGCCCACAGCCGCCCGCCCACCCGCACCCACCAGCTCGCTGGCCCCCAGCCCCGGCTTCCTTCGGGCTCGCTTGCTCCTTTCCCCGCGAGGAGGGCGGAGAGGCATGAAGACGAGCCGCCGGTGCCGAGCCCTGTTGGCCGTGTGTCTGAACCTGCTGGCTCTTCTCTTCTCAACCACCGCCTTCCTCACCACGCACTGGTGCCAGGGGACCCAGCGGGTGCCCAAGCCCAACTGTGGCCGAGACAAGAAGACCAACTGCCTCAACTACAGCGGCAACAGCACGGCCAACGACACGGCCGGCTCCCACGGGGTGCACTACAGCTGGGAGACCGGAGACGACCGCTTCCTCTTCAGGTATTTCCACACCGGCATCTGGTACTCCTGCGAGGAAAACCTCAGTGGACTTGGTAAGTGGCAGCGGGCTCCTCGTTCTCTTCCTCCCTCTCTCCCCTCCCCGGCCTCCGGTGGCCGTGGGTGGAGACGACCGTGATGGTTTGTCCTCACTGACCAGAGCGCGAGGTGCTCCTTCCCTCCCGGGAGCCCCGTGCGGCGCCCGTGAGACCATTTAGAACGAACGTTCCAAGGGTTCCCCCGGAACATTCCACGTTCCATGGGTTAGCATGTTCAGCCTTTGGGAACGTTCCACGTTCCACGGGTAAGAGCATTCCACGGGATAGAACGTTCCCCCGTGCCGCGGTTTAGAAGGCTGGGCGCGCGCCGACCAGGAGAGCAACCTGTTCTTCGTCCCGGAGGGCCGAGAAGCTTGCCTTTTCTGGGCTCCTTGACCTGCCCTCTGCAAGCTGTGCGCCCCTTCCAAGGGGACACTAGAAAAAGAGCACCCAAGCTGACCCTCATGTGCCAGGGCTGCTCCTGGGAGCCCCTACACTTCCCCTCCCCCCCAAAAAAAGAGGCGAAAAGGGTTCAGTTTTAGCAGTTGCAGAGTGAGACTGGCAATCTGGGTCCCTCCCTGCCTGTTAGTTTTAGGTTATGAGTACAGAAGCCTACGCAGGTTAACTGGAGGCTTGGTACCAGTCTGAACTAGAAGCATTCAGTAAAGCCCCACTGAAACAAGCCACATGGGTGTATGTGTGTGTCTGGGGGCAGGTGGGGTGCAGAACTCCCTCCAGGAGATAGCTGGAGCCCTGAGGAAGTAAGATATTTACCAAATCAAAGAATAGTAGAAACAGAATTCAAATAAAAATGTATGGAAAAGTGGTTGCAACAGAAACAGATAAAAACTACTCAAAACAAAATTCTTACTGATTTTTTAAAAATGTACTTTTCAGGAGGTAAAATACGGGCACAGACCCAGTAAGCTTATTGTGGTTGGCTCCTCTCCTTCTACATCTCTGAGTGCTCTTCTCCTGGCCACAAAACGAAGTCAGAGTGCTACAAAGCTTAAGAACAAGGCTCCAGCAAAAGCTAGAAGTGTCTGGGTGAGAGATGGCCTCTGGCAAAGGCCCTTGGGAAGGCAGCAGGCATCTATAAATCGAGGCCTGTGTACCTTGAGAGCTTTTTACTGGTTAATGCTGGGTTGTAATGCCAGCCCCTGATTGATGTGCAGAGGGGGTGATGCTTCCTGAATGAAATGACACCCTCTCCATCTTTTCAGAAGCTTAAAATTCATTCAGTAGGAGCTTAGTTTTGCAGGGCAATATGAATATGCCTGCGGTTGTTCAAGTGGTGATGGAAGTGAACATCTATCCTCAGAGTCTTTGGTAAGCTGACCAATCTGGTTACATTGGCATGAGCCTTCTTTTTGGGAAGAGGGAAGGTTTCAACTACTTCAGTCCAGTAGCTGTCTGTTAGCTTGTACTTAGGACAGGATCAGACTTTTTCTTTTCCTCTTGAAGGCTGCCTACTCTAGCTTGTTATTTTTGATACTAAACGTAACTTTTCTGAATTGTACTTTCTGTTGCTCATAAACATGTTGATTCTTTCTATACTGTATTTTTGCCAGAGATAAGCTTTTACTTATTGATCAGAATTGATTTGATCTCCAACTTCTGATAGTACTCATGGGACTTCTATATATTTTTATTCTATTCTAGACTTAAATTTTAGAAGCACACTTTAGTCCAAAGCTATAATCTTACAGGTCAGGAACCTAAAAGCCAGGGAGTCGAAGCCATTCTGCCCAAAGTCACGCAAATAAACTAGAGTTGGTGTTAGAACCCAGGTCTCCTGAGACATCACAGAGCACAAAAAAAGAGCATTAGATTTGGATTCAGATGCCCTGGATTTGAACTCTGACCTCTAAGACCCCTTCCAGACTAAATCCCATAACACTGTGATTTCCAATCTACTACTCATTGCACTATACCATCACAAAACTATTTAATTGCTTTTCATATGCGCACAAGCCACAGCCCTAACCACCCACACAGAAATTTTCATAATACCTTGACACTTGAAAAATCATAACCCTTCTGGCCCATAAGCCATTCTTCCCCTTAAAGAAAGCATTTCTGAGTTCTTGAATAAAACACATAAACTGCCATCAGTTCCTCTTCCCCAGGAAAATACCACAGTCCTTCTAAAATATGCACATGAATACCCCCCATTCCCCCCCCCCCAGGACCTCTCCTACAGCTAGAATCAGGTTACAACTACTACTCTTCATGTGGTTTTCTCAACTGAGACTTTTCAGCTGTTGCTTCAGAAGGGAAGGGACATTTTTATTAGTTTGGGGCCTCTGGTTCGGTTCTCAGGAATTCTTCTCTTTTATTCTAATTTCATCTTCAGTAAGCCTGGGTTAAAACAGAGTTTGGCTCTGGTTGTACTAGGAAGAAGGGTTAGGGAGAGGTGAGGGAAGTAAGGTCACTGTTAGGTGGCATTTGAGGGGAGGGCTATTTGGGGGAACTAAAGCAGAGATTATGCTAAATGTAGTGTAGTATAATGAAGAAAGTCCTAGATTTGGAGTCAGAAAACCTGCATTAGAATCACAGCTATGCCTCCTCCTACATGTCAGTGTAACCTTGGACGAATCATTTAACCTCTAAGCTAAAATTTCGTTTTCTGTCTCTAATAACGTGATTGGACTAGATTTCACCTAAGGGCCCTTCTAGCCCAATAGCTGATGATTTACATTTGGGACCAAAATAAACAACAAATAAACTGAAGACTGATTAAGGCCTAGATTTTAGGGGGTCTGTGAACTGTTTTTAAAAAAATATTTTGATAACTATATTTTAGTACAGTTCATTTCCTTTGTAGTCTAATGTATTTTATTGTATACATTTAAAAATATTCTGAGGAGTCCATAGGCCAGGTCTAAGGGGAAAAAAACACATTAAGCATTCCTGATTTAGGGTAAAAATTTAGTTCTATGGCAATCAGGGTTGAGATGAGCACTTATAATCTTGATTTTAGGATTATGTCAATATACATTCTTTTTCATTGCCCATGCTAATTTACCACTATGGTGGTAAGCTATTGATACAAATCTGGATGAATGACTATTTGGATAAATCAGGTAAGCCCCAAATGCTTTCTTTTTTCTTTTAGTCATCAGTACATGTAAAACTTACCTCACAGAAAAATTGCAATTTTCCCTCTTGGTGTTTGGAAGGTAGTGATCAGCCTGTCACTCACAAAGCCTTGGGTGGTCTTCCTTGTGCCACTGATAAGCGAGGACAAATCCTGTCAGTCTCACTGCACCTCAATTAAAAACAAAGTTTTTTGGTCCATGTTCACCTTTCTTCTGTATTTTGTGACCCATAAGAAAAACAACCGCCTCCAAAATTGATGCCTGACCCTCATAGGAAAAGAATTGAGGATAAACCTCTCTGTCTGCTTTAAAAGGGAAGCAAACATTTCTTTTTCATTTGCTCCTTTTCCTCAGTTTCTGTGAACTGTACAAACACAGACCCTAACCTGCCCCTCTCAGGGCAGAGCATGCTGCAAACATTCTTGCTTCAAATCCCCAACCAGAAACTCTGGGCCTGTAAAAACCTCTCTCTGTCATGGCCAGTCACAGGGAAACCTAACCAGTTCCCTTTTCCCACACTAATAGCCCACAGTGCTTACAAAGAAAACTATAGTCCTTCCCCAAAACAGATACACTTTCACCAACCCTAGCACAAAGGAACCTTTTCTCTCTCCTCTGAGAAGAAACATCCTCCTCCCTCAATATACAGAAGAGGAATCATGTCCTCTGCACACACAAAAAAAACCAGCCTAGTGTTCAGTCCAGATTCCGCCTGCTGAGAATCAGTACACTGCATTTGGGAAATGGGAAGCCTGGCTTCTACTTTTGATTTCCCCCAGTGATTTGTTTGGTGACTGCCCCCCTTCCCACCTCCCTGCAAGTTTATATTTATTCATTGTTCAGCAAAGCAGCCCTGGTTGGTGGAAAATGCCATGACTGGAGACCAAGGACATGGATTTGAATCCTGTTTACAATCTGTGTGACCTTGAGCAAGTCACATTTCTCTGGTTTTCCTGTTTGTAAAACGATTGAGTTAGCCAGGTTGGTCTTTATGGTTCCTTCTAATTCTAAATCTGCTTTTACGAAAAATTTATGAAAAATAAGGCTCACTGTATATGGACGTGGCACTCATTCTTAGGTGACACAAAGGAAATGTAAGATGTGGCCTCTTCCCTCCCAGAGTTGGTAATCTAGTTGAGGATATGATACATACACATGTATGTATGTGTGTGTGTATACACATGCACAGACATGTGTACACATATGTATATACACAAATATGCACACATGCATGTAATACGCATTTTATCATGAACACATATATGAAAATTATATGACCATTCAAAGCACTGTACTATTAAGTATAAAAGAAGGGTTATAGACTGTGCACATGCTATAGGAATGCAGAAATGGAGGGAAGCCCAGAACCTTAGATCTACAAGGTACCTCAGAGGTCAGAAAATCTTTCAGCCTCCATCAGACCTGTATTCCAGGTCTGCCCATTACACTTTGCAGTAACTTTAATTGTTAAGAAGGTCTTTTTCTGGGGCAGCTAGGTGGCGCAGTGGATAGAACACTGGCCCTGAAGTCAGGAGGACCTGCATTCAAATCTGGCCTCAGACCAAACACTTGACACTTACTAGCTGTGTGACCCTGGGCAAGTCATTTAACCCCAACTGCCTAAGCAAAAAAAACAAAAAAGAAGGTCTTTTTCTTATATTAATCTGAAATCTGTTTCCTCGGATCCATTGCTCTTAATATTGCCTTTTTTTTTTTAAAGGCAATTGGGGTTAAGTGACTTGCCCAGGGTCACACAGCTAGTAAGTGTCAAGTGTTTGGTCTGAGGCTGGATTTGAACTCAGGTCCTCTTGACTTTAGGGCCAGTACTCTATCTACTACGCCACCTAGCTGCCCCAATATTGCTTTTTGAGGCCAACTCTCAAAAGACAATCCTTCAAATACTTGAAGACAGCGATC